CCCTTCTGGTTCGGTACGCCCTCCTTCATGCCCGAGCGGTCCCTAACCAGTAGTAAGATTTCCGGTATAGCTTCCGTCAAAGCTTCACTCCTTTGACGTAAGACTGGATCCGTGAGAACCCTGCTACATTGACTAACCCTCGTGGATCCGCGCGCCGTTTGACACACGCACCAGCGACCGGGGGGCGTGGGCCGGGGACGGAGGCGCGCACGCGTACGGCGCGTTCCTCTCAGCGACGCCCTTGCCCATCACTCTGCCCCCCTCCCCCCCCCCGGGGGGGGGGTGGCGGAAGAGCAATGAGGCCGCACGAAACGGCGCCGGCCGTGTTCGGTACGGTGCCCGGGGTCAGGGGGTCTGGGAGGGGCCAGCCGCGCGCAACATGGTTGGCCGGTCGGGAGATGTCCATTCGGGAGCTTCGGCACCTTGCGTAAGGACCCCTTCGGCGTGTCCCAGACACATATGCGCGCATGCAACGGCGCCACACCCCCCGACCGAGCTGCAATGACGATCATTGAGGACGCGCAAGGGCAGAGGGCCCGGCGCGCTGAGAGGGGCCGGATTACGCAATACGCTGCCAGGAGACGCAGCTTGGGCCGTCTAACCGGCGAAGACCGCGGCCGGGCTTGTTGTCGGTCCTCGCGGGCCGTCCCGGTGGGCCTGTGCGTGTGCGTGTGCGCGTATGCGCGTGTATGCGAGTGTGTGTGCGCGTGTGCCCTTGCGTGTGGTGCTGTTGCTCGACCCGCGGCGGCAGGGGGTCCGCGCTCGCCGCCGGGGGCTTGACCCGCCCTGCGCGGGCCCTCTGGACGCTTCGGTGGTCCGTAGGTGGGCCTGGCATCTCTCTGCCCCAAGGTGTGGCTCATGCATGTGTGTGTGTGTGTGTGTGTGTAGAGCGTGGACCGCGCCCCGTTGGCCTGGGGGAAGGTATTTTGGCGGCCACGCCGCCTGGCGTCTGGTCCAGTGGCCTCACCAGCGAAGCCCCCCTACCTCCCATCCCCAATCGCCCGATTTCCCCCAGTTTTCCCTCCTTTCGCCCTCGTCGCCGCTCTCCCCCCGCCATCATGCCCGTCCGCGCCCAGTTCGAGAACAGCAATGACATCGGTGTCTTCGCCCGCCTGACCAACGCCTACTGCCTGGTCGGCATCGGTGCCTCCGAGAACTTCTACAGGTGATTAGCTCCGCCCCCCCCCTCTCTCTCTCACTCCGCCACCTGCGCCTCGCTCTCGATTGCTTTCGCACTTCATCGGTCGCTTGCC